TCGTAATTGTACTTCATACGATTGTACAGACAGCAGACAGGAAGCGACCAGTCTCGGTCTCGTAACTCTGTCGCCTGCCTCGGTCGCTTGTCTCTGTCGCGTGCAGCCAAATTGTACCTTTAGGGACAATGTCTGTCTCGGGTACATGGAAGTACATACCCCATAAAGTGGTGAATAGATGGAATAATAATAATAATAATAATAATAATAATAATAATAACCCTGTACCTTTGTAATCACAAAGTGTCTCCATTCCTCACTGATGTATTGTGCAAAAACTGTCCCAGCTAGCACCATGCATTCTCATGCAATACTACTCAAAAGTGCTTCTTAAACTTAATTTAATCTCACCTTCAGCAGCTGTGAATTAATCCACTTGGCAAATGTTTTCTTTTGTACGTCTTCTCGTTCGTCTGTAACAAGAAATTTAAAATCAGTACACTGAAAACTCCGGTTTGAGACAGAAGCATTATATTCCTGCCTTCGGTAACGAAACAAAAATAATAAATCTGATCGGATGCCTCAAACCACAGCGGATATTTTTTTTAACCGCCTTGATGGAACGTATTGTTTCAATTGGCAGCGGGCGCACGTGCGGTTGTTTTACCGCTGCGTTTTTCGAACGCAACATGCTTTATTTTCGACGCGGTGCGGTGGCCGCTCAGGGATTGGGGGTGGCAATGGAACTCAAAGAACCCAACCAGTGTTTGCCCGAGCTTGGTGGCGATTGTAGGCGTCGTGAAAAGACTGATAACTGCAGAGGAGAAAAGGCAGGCACTGTACAGTTAGGCCATATCGGAGTACAGTTACAAAAACTGTAAAGAAAACTGTGGATAGAAGTTTGTGAAGCTACTGCCGAACTGGAGTCAACTAGACAAAAAAGAATGTACGTTCATAGCAGCAAAGCGAACACAGCGACCGTATCATCAAAATCCATGCCTCGATTTATCAGCCTAGAGAACACACGAACTGTATCCACAAATTTCAGCTCCCAACTGAGAAGAAAACGCAAATATTGGCGTTTCTTTCACCGCCCACGCACATAGCCAACAGGAATCTATGGCCGCGGTTGTTTTACCTCTGTGGCGAAAATACCGCTCGTGCGCGCTAGACCTTATTCTAGAACGGCATATGCACAACCAGAGGAAAGCTTGGCTCAGAAGCTGGTCCACAGATATGCCTCGATTTATAATACTGTTAGGTTTATGGAAAAATCGAGTAACGAACTCCATACAGCACAGTCCCTGAGATGCAGTCAAGAAATTCCCATCTGCTTACGAAACCTTTAGCCCGAAAGCTAATTTTTATACCCCATTTCCGCCTTTCTTCCAGAAATTGCTGATCAGATAAAGTCTACATGGAATCCAGTACGAGACAATTAAGTCGATAATGGATGTATGACCGGGGTTCCAACCCGACAGGATATGTCTCTTCGCCACAGCGTCCACACTGGCTCTGGGACTCCTCCCAATAGGTACCGGGGACTCGTTTCCACGGCGTAAAGTGGCCGGAGAGTAAAACTAATTATTCACCTTCATTTAGCACCTCCACTCCCCGCTACGCTGTCATGACTCGATGCTTAAGCATAGACACGTTAATGTAATGATAGTGTATACTGAATTCTTCTCGGGCTACCAGTTGTGTCAGGTGGTTGAATGGAGAAAACACCAACGTTTCGAGAACCATCTTCGTCCTCAGAGTACTAAAGTTGTCCATTAAACCACCTGACACGGCTGATGGCCAGAGAAGAGTTCATTATACTTAGTCGCCGTGAAAGCTTCGGATCATATTTATAGTGTGTACATTTAATGAAATACAAGGAACAATAATTGATTTCTTAGATAGTGTCTCCACTGGAGTTTAACTTTGTCGGCAAAACTGTGTCCTGCTTCGTATTTGGAAGGTCCCGGCTTCAAATCTTGGCCCGAAGAACGGGTATCCTGAGGTTTTACTTGTGGTTTTTCTCTGTCCCACCGGGATAAGACCTTATATTATGCCGAAAATACTTACTTCCATATTATTTCTAATTCACCATTTATTAATATCCCTTTGCCGCTACGTATTCTGAGCTATTAACGGCATCGTTAACTAAACCTTAAGCAGAATACAATTAAAATATATGGGTGTGGTCAGTGGAGTCAACCTGCAGACAAGATCTGTAAACACCAAAAATATTCACTAATTCGCCAAGTACCCATCCGGAAAATATGTGTACTGTTATATACGCATCATGTTGTGGTCGTATTTTTACAAAAATATGTTCTCCGTCTCCACACCTCAGTGAGTTGTATAAACTTTATAGGTCCATACACGTATTTTATTCTGCAATACTGGACGACAAATTTCTTTAGTTCATCAGGCCCCTGACTTGTTAACATAAACTACAATTTTAAATGATTCTAGAATAATTATTAAAATATGCTCTGAGCGTCGTTTTATATCTTGAGTAGCAGCCACACGGTCTGAGGCATGATTCTCGTGCGCCTGGCTGCTACGACCGTGGGTTCGAGTCCCACTCAAGGCATGGATGTTTGTAAAAAGGGGAGTAAAGTCAGTCGTCTACTCGTGCTGCCGCATGTTCGCTAAAAACGACTGGCACTTATCGCCTTGTATATAGACTAATGGCTGAGTGGCTTAAGTCTGGCGTAGGAAAAAAAAATCTTGAGTGGTCGTCATATGTGCTATGTGTGCGTGGCGTGTGTTATATTCTGCTGTTGAATTCCGTTGCTGTGGAGGATAGATACACGCCTATTTCTCTGTCATATACCATTAAAACATCAATTTAATGAGTGCCCGGTGTGTCCTGCGTGTGCTGGTCTCGCAGGTACTGATTAGTCCACTCACAACGTTTCCGATTATCTCAACAAGCATATCCATTGAACTTGGAAAACCTCTTCAGATAAAACTATTGCCTTCCAGAGTTTGGGTTAAGCACAAACATTAACAGCAGAATACTGTCACTGCCAAAAAGTGCATGGAAACCCAAATTCTTTTTTAACAAATGTTAATGTCGAACTTGAACGATGTTTATATAGTTATCCAAGCAGTCATTTCGAGACAGCATTATTAGTTGTTTACTTTGACTGAAGAGGGCAAGTACAAAGAACACTGTTAGTCTATCCACCAAATGTATATGTAGCCATTCGTATCTCACATTACGCGCCCGTGGTCAAAAAAAACTTGTTTTAACGAGATTGAACCTGAGTACACAGTGCGTTCTTTACAAATTTTGAATTCTTAATACACAGCCTAACCTATCCACCCTAGCCAAATTCTCTTTAGAAATAATGAATAATAATGACATACATATATTTAATAATTGCGTAAATTCCTTTATCAATTGGTAATGCACTTATTCGCCTTCTGGTTTACAAAAAGGGGCTATAATTGATCCATCTTCCAGAAAAATTCATATATATATATATATATATATATACACACACTAAAAATGTATAAAAATAACCCATTAAATCTGTTCCAATCTACTCACCTCATACCGACCATGCGTCATACCAAATATTGTCTATCCTTACCTACCTTAACCACTCCTAACCTACCCGAACCCAAGTTCACCACGGTCACCCTGATTACCGCTGGCTGGCAGACATGGTGATCTACACATATATGTCTTCATTAGTTTCAAATGTGTATTACTGGGCTCTACCCTTTCGTACTAACAAAATAAGACAGAAGATGACTGTCTTCTGGGTTGTTGCGCCGTGTAATCTGGTAGAAGTTTACCGACGTTTGAGAGCTCCAAGCTGCCTCCATCATCAGGGCATTGAGTAAGCCGTGCGAGTACTCAACGCCCCTATAATGGAGGCAGCATGGACCTCTAAAACGTCGGTAAACTTCTACCAGACTACACGAGGTAACAACCCAGAAGACAACCATCTGCAAACTCATCGAAGTGAAAACCTCAAATCGTAGTAAATAAGACAGCTAATTTCAGTTCAAATTGAGGCCCCGTCTTAAGTGTGTCAAATTAGGTAAAACGTTTGAAACCCTCAGACTAAACGTTTCACTGTTTAAAGATTAATTCTGAGTACGAACAGCCCAGAGAGTCTAATCCTTAACAGATAACGACAAATAACAAACTAGACTTCATCGACGGCTTGCGATTGCATGTTTCGGTACTTGAATTTAATAATGGTCATGAATGAACGGAGACCTTGCAGGTTACGTTGCAACTTGCCTGAATAATAATAATAATTATTATTATTATTATTATTATTCTGCGAGGCAAGGGTTGACAACCTTTTCATCACCGCCGACCGCATTGGCAAGTTACATCTTTGTCGAGGACTCCAGAAAAAAACTAATACTGTGGTTTGTAGTATTCGAAACTGCGTTCCTTTAACTCAGAGCATAGCGGATTTTCACTTGAAAACTGAAAACAGCTGTATTTCTCCACACAACCGAGTTTAATGCAAAGATGTTGTTTGTTAGTTCTCAAATGGATTTGATTTCAAGTCACTTTTAATTTTATAACCTTCAGTTATTAATAATCTTCACAATGATTTGTTTTATTTTCTATGGTTCGAACAACGGAACAATATTGGGCCAACTTAGCGCAATAATGAGATTTAAACGTTTCGGACTATTTCTACATAATTCTTGTTTCAATGAAATATTTATTTTGTTATTGTTTGCCCTTTCACTTTCATGTTTTTCTCGGTACTCCTAAGCAAAAGAACATTTCTGCCATTCTCGCACTGGCTGATTCCCGAATCATGTGATGGGCCGCATAAAAAGGTAAAGAGGACCACGTGCGGCCCGCTGGACGCAGGTTGTCGACCCCTGATTTAGAGGATATTCCAAAAAAAATAAATACGCTACGCAAAGATTGCAAAATGTAAAGCAGTCATCGTTACAGAACCATGAGCTCTCTGCTTACGTAGACTTGCAATAACAAGACAAATTAAACACGAACTATGTTGAAACGTCAATGGGTAAAATGGCTGGAAGGGTCATCGAAGTGACGCCACCTTCTTAATGACAAAATTAAACATTACAAAAACAACAGCCAATCATTACATAAATAGACAACGGATTGAATATTTAACCTGAGGCGAATCGCTGGCACTTCCCTTCCTCCTAACTTGTTAAACTTCTTTGCCCGCCTTCCAGAGAACTTGACGAACTGAAACCGCGAGTCCGTCACCTTCCCAGTAGTTTCGTTCTGAGCAACTACAAACCTCTGCCTCTTACGGCGGAATAATATTCAAGTAGAACCAGGGCATGTTCGCCTCCGGTGTCACGTAAAGATCTCGTGTTATGCCTAGACTAGCTGCAAAAAGAACTCCACTCTTACACCGTTCATATACTTTCCGCGATTTCTGATCCTTTGTCACGCTGCACATGGCTTAAAAAGACTGTAGTTGGAAACGATGTCTTGATATTTGCACAGAAG